AACATAGAAAACACCGTTCTTGTATTATTGATTTCGTATCCGTTGTCACGGAAACGTGTTTACCGAACTCTTGCTCAGAGGCCTGTTGCGTAACCTGGTTTATTAAAGAACTGTTACTCAAACGACGGGCGTTGTTTCGTGACCGTTATTCAGCAACGGATCTGCACACTACAGTGAAACTGAAAATTAGATTTAGAGTAAACTCAAGTACTTAACTCTTCCCACATCCACTGTCTCATCGGCGCATGTGACATATCCTGATACGTTAAAGCGGTGGATTCAACAAAAGGTTCCCCTACACCAATGATTACACTGTCCACGATTCATAGACTGTTTATTTTTGGTGGGAGGAGGACGAATACAATTTCATTCTGTCCTTGTACATAACGGGAAATAAGTGACACGGATAAAGGGGAGTTAGCTTTGGGCTAACGTGACTTCCTCACACTCGTCAAGACAAAGAGAGCCGCGTGCACGGTAAAAAATTAGAACAAAGAAATATATTAGACAGGAAGGCAGAGTAAGAGGAAATTTTTTAAATAAATTAATTAATTAACTCATGGAGCTGATTCCTTCTTGAGAAGCTGCTAGTCGCTCAGCTATTCAAGAATTTCCCAAATATTTTACGGATCCCTTAGTTTCATTACCTTGTTTACAAGAGTCCGCCACTGGTGCATAGCTGAGCCAGATGAACCAAGTCCATACCACTCCATCCTATCTCTCAAAGGTCAATTTTAATATTATTCATAAAAAAATTCCGTGGCCTATAGACCTCAAGAGAACTATACCGACCGAGCTACCAACGCTTGCAGGCAAACTTGGTGCCAACTTTTGCGGATAGAGGGTGTCGCGTGATCAGCGCAACGGATCCTCACGGCCCTTAATCTCGGTTTTCTAGACCGGAGCCGCTATTCATTTGAAATCGCCCTTCAGTTATCCTCACGAGGCTGAGTGGACCCTGTTCTAGATGCACTACATCTCAGAGAATCTGGTAGCGCCGTGAACTGAACCGCGAACCTCTGGATCTGTAGCCACGAACCCTGACCACTAGACCACAGAGCCGGTATTTAATATTATTCATAGTGGACTTTTTCTTTCTCTTTTTCATATCAAAATCCTATATGCACTCGTCTTCTGCAGCAAGAAATTATAAATAGCTGAAACGCGAAGAGAAAATGAAGGTGCAAATTTATTGCAAATATTTTCTCGCACAGAGAGTAAACCGTTGTCTTGGAGGTACCACTTACGCAGTTTCATTTAAAGAGTTTGCTGCATGGAATTCTGAATTGTGATCAGGATGTTCAGAAATAGTTTAGAGATAATCGCAGTTTTGTTTTTAGGATCTCTCTAAAGGGCCAAAATATATCGGGAACCGATTTAATGTGACATACGCCTGAAAGCCGGTGTAATGAAGCAAGAAAAAGGGCAATTCATTCTGTGTGCGGTTGTTTTTGTTGTAACTGTTGCAGTCACAGTAAACCGTGATATACCACAAGCAACGGCCATGAAATTAAGCAATAAAATTAACATACGTCAATATTGTGGGCACGTCGGATAATCCGGATTGAAATATGGAAAAAGAAAACAATTGTTATTCATACTTGATTACGTACTTTAAAAGACATGTGACATTTAGGAAGGAAGATGAGTCACTTGTCTGTTCAGATAAAACTTGACGGATTCATCAAACTTGCATTATTGCCTTCAGAAACAAGTACAACTTCTGAGTCTTCTATAAATGAATAAACGTATTGTCTTTTTATAATTTTTAAATAAAGGCTCTACAGAATAAATATTTTTAAATTTATTTTAATCAGCAGTACTTACATTTCCATTTATCTTTTAAATTTTTGTATATTTTAGGGCTACATTTTGCTCCACTAATCCGGATTATCGCTTAATCCGAATAACCTCCCAATCCCAATTAATCCGGATTAGAGAAAGTGCCCTGCATAAGAACACTACCAGCAGTATCTAATATTTAATCAGTAAATAATTATGAAACCAATTTTGTTTTAGTCATAAACATACATTTTAAGGAGTTTCAAACTTTAAAAAAAAATTTTATTTAGGTCAACGTAAAAAATTAAAGATCGCTCATGAAATCGGAAAATAAGGACTCGAATTTCACACGCAGAACTTTTCGCTATAAGTGCGCTTACTACTATAAAATACGAAGTTGTTTCTGTGCTTAACTAATTAAGCACTACACCATGAAGACGTGTGGGGGAGTGGCTGTATAAATCCACTTTTTCTTGATCTCGGCACTAGTTGGAGTTGACTGGTCAGTTTAATGCCCTGGTCATTTTACCCTCAAGAAAATGCCTCTAGTATGCATTGGATAGGAGACTGTGTGAGCCCCAGAGACGGTCTGGACGCTGTAGAGAAAAGAAAATTCTTGACCTTATCGGGGCTCGAACTCAGACGCCTCCTTTGTTTGTCCAGGCCATAGCCAGTCGCTATACCGACTGCGCTATCCCGTACAGAGTGAATTTTATATGTCTAAGATTCTCGGAAGCAAACGAAATAGAAGAAAAATTTTATTCCTTTCACCAGTAGACGTTCATGTCCTTAAATGCAATTCTAATTAAGATGGAAGTGAATGTGTAGAAGTGATACATAATTGCGACAGGATGCTGAAATATGATATTTATTTCCTTCTATATATAACAAGTAAAATAAAGATGAGATAATAGCTGTGAAATTACATAGTTTCATTTTACCACCGCAATGATTTTTCTGTCGTTAACACGCTTGACTATTTGTACTCTTTTTTCGTGGGAGATGGTTCTAAACTTGCGTCTCGACGCATCACTCAGGAAAAGGCAGGACTGGACAGGGTTAAGGGAAAGAACATGGAAAGTTAATATTACGAAAGCTGAGGTAACAAACGAGGAGACCTCTTCCTGAATTCTTAATGAGTGCTACACTAGCTTTTCTATAGGTCTCTCGGCCTGTCAGAAATTATCCATGAGAATTGCTCTTACTTCTGTGGGCGCGATGTCTTCAGTACAAATCATCACTGATTCAGATCTTTCAAGTATCATTTTCGTTTTATACAGTTGGGTGGGCAAACGTCTCTCTTATGTGTCCAGTCTCTTAGATGTCCAGTCTGTTAAGTATCCATGCTCTTACGTGTCCAGCTTCTTAAACATTCAATCAGTTGTGTCCAGTCTCTTAAATATCCAATCTGTTAAGTGTCCATTCTCTTATGTGTCCAGTCTCTTAAACATTCCTTCAGTTAAGTGTCCAGTCTCTTAAATATCTATTCTCTTATGTGTCCAGTCTCTTAAATGTCCAGTCTGTTAAGTGTCCATGCTCTTATGTGTCCAGTCTCTTAAACATTCAATCAGTTGTGTCCAGTCTCTTAAACATGCAATCTGTTAAGTGTCCATTCTGTTATGTGTCCAGTCTCTTAAACATTCCTTCAGTTAAGTGTCCAGTCTCTTAAATATCTATTCTCTTATGTGTCCAGTCTCTTAAATGTCCAGTCTGTTAAGTGTCCATGCTCTTATGTGTCCAGTCTCTTAAACATTCAATCAGTTGTGTCCAGTCTCTTAAACATGCAATCTGTTCACTGTCCATTCTGTTATGTGTCCAGTCTCTTAAACATTCCTTCAGTTAAGTGTCCAGTCTCTTAAATATCAATTCTCTTATGTGTCCAGTCTCTTAAATGTCCAATCTGTTAAGTGTCCATGCTCTTATGTGTCCAGTCTCTTAAATATCAAATCTTTTAAGTGTCCAGTTTCTTAAATGTCCAGTCTGTTAAGTGTCCATGCTCTTATGTGTTCAATCTCTTAAACATTCAATCAGTTGTGTCCAGTCTCTTAAATATCCAATCTGTTAAGTGTCCATGCTCTTATGTGTTCAGTCTCTTAAACATTCAATCAGTTAAGTGTCCAGTCTCTTAAATATCAAATCTGTTAAGTGTCCAGTCTCTTAAATATCCAATATGTTAAGTGTCCAGTCTCTTAAGTGTCCAGTCTCTTAAGTGTCCAGTCTCTTAAGTGTCCAGTCTGTTAAGTGTCCAGTTTCTTATGTGTCCAGTCTAGTTAAGTACCTTCTCTGTTATGTGTCAGTCTAAGTGTCCAGTCTCTTAGCCTCTCATGTATCTAGTCTCTTGCACTCATGAACTTGATTTGTAATGAATGCTGCTGCTAAGCAGTAGATATGCGTGTTCATGTCACGATGATGTGTTGTACTAATGGAATTTTGCCACTGCCATGTACTCCAGAATATGAAATTTATAAAAGTTTAAACTTATGCTTATAATGATTAAGTGAGGACTAAACTACTTCTTAAACAATGTTTATTATTTTTCAGTGTTTACACATCTGCAATGCACTGTACGAGTATGTTGTTTATGTGATGCTCCTACATTGTACAATGTATTAAATATTTAAAAAATATTAGAATAATATAATTAGAATTAAATTTGAGATGCGTGTTAAAACGTATATCGTCACGTGATGTAGTAAATATAGACAGAGTTTTGATTTGTAATCAGATTAATTTTACCTTTGAAGAACTCGTGACTACACTTTTAAAATCAGCATCAGTTTTTCTATTGTTGCAGTACGTAGCTGCAAGCACGGATCCCATAGAAAACACCGCTTCCCAGTAACTTTGTCGTTGCTAGTCTAGCAACGGACGTGTTTGCAGAGACGTTCCATAGCTGGCTTCACAGTTCTTGCCTCGAGAAAATATGCCACAATATATACTAATGTCATTTCATATTACCACACATATATATATATATATGCATATGCAGATAGTCTGTCAGAATTTACACCAGGATCTACGTGATGCCATGTTATGAGAAAATTATTGACCCAGTGTATCTGAATTTACCACCAGTTTATGAATACCGGAAGTATGTTGAAAGTAGAATCTAACAACTTTCTAATGATGAATTAACGTCCTGTGTCACGCATTACTGATGACGTAGGCATGTCCAAACATTAGACAGAGGATAATAACGATTGATGGCTTTGTTGCAGGACCGGTTGACGGGTCACGGAGCCATCGCCTCGATTGGTTCCGTGTCGGCTGGAACGGGTGGCTCTTCGCCCTTCAGCACCGCCTCTCACCACCATCATCATCATCGCACCAACGCCGGCACCGGCGGTGGTGCTGGCAACACCGGAGGAATGACCCCCACATCGCACCACCACTCGGTGTCCGCCACCGACTTCCAGCCGCCATATTTCCCACCGCCATTCCCACCCCCACCGCCAAGTCACCACCATCACCAAGCGACGTCACCAGCCGCGGCTCAGAGTCACCATCAGCTAGACTACCTCAACTCGGTGACCGCTGTCACAGACCCTTACTCACAGACGCTCAACTCTCTACACCAGACGGCGCAGGCAGCAGCCGCGGCGCATCATTACAACCAGCTCACAGCAGCGGCGGTGTCGGCGGGGCAGAGAACGACGACGACCCACGATGTCCTCCGCAGGGACACCGACGCCCTCCACGTGGTAAGTACTTTCCAGTAACGACTGTAGTGAACACAGTTCCTTCTGCAGGACGTTCGCTTAAGGTTTATAAACCGAAGAAGAAACCACACCAGCATTATTTCCACCACATATTTGCCTGAGATCGAACCCGGGCCGCCGCGGTGGGAATCCGGAGACTAACCTCCTGAACTAGGGCACAGTACATGGAGATATTTTTAAACATATGAAAGGAAATTCCTGTTATTTCGTCTCTACTCTGACCACTGGTCAGAATTTCTGCCTACAGATCCAGAGGTCCCGGTTTCAATTTCCGGCTCTATTAGATTTTCTCAGAAGAAGTGGGTCTGGAACGGGGTCCACTCAGCCTCGTGAGGATAATTGAGGAGTTATTTGAAGGAAATAGCGGCACCGGCCGTGATGATCCGTTCCGCTAACCACGTGACACCCTCTCTCCGCTGAAGTGGGCACTAACTTCGCCGTCAAGTGGCGGTCGCTCGGTCGGTATTGTTCGATTGCGGACTACAGCCACGGAGCTTGTTTTGTTTGGTGTTGTGAGCGATTTAATGTCGTTTGGCAATCCTGATCGGCCGCTGACCCAAAGCTACTGCACGTGAAGTGCGCTGCATAATTTTGCTGTGACAATTCTCCGTGACGGAAACAGTATTGAATGTTCCACACAAGAACTACATATCAGCTGATGTAGTCACGCTTCTGCGTTAAACTTTCCATAATATTGATGCTGATGTTTGTATCTGAAACACGGACTTAAATAAGAAGATAAAACTAATGAAAATATCCCTATATATGAATAAGTACCGCGTTATGTAGCCATGCGAGCTCAGAATTAGATAATGTTGAATAGTTACTGGGTGGGGCTAAATATTAGCCTGGTCGGTGTGCAGAATATATTATTCCCGCCGGGAACCGAAAACCTATTGCTGTATCGTATACACTGTAGACTAGTTACTATACCCACTGAGTTGTCGCAGCTTTTTAGATAAGACGACATGAAACAAGAAAGTTTTGTATTACGTCTCAAATATATTTGAGCGCCTGTTTGGTACCGTTCCGCTAAGAATCTTGTAATCTTAACGTCTGCTATCTGATCACCTGAGTGTACATCGTCTAAAGGTGTTTCAGGGTGTATCAGAAGCCTGAAACTCAATTATTTGTCACGTGGTAGAATGTGACGGGCCTTGAATTGATGATTGGGTTTATTGCGCACTTTGATGCAGCGCGTTACTACACTATACAGCTTTACTTTACAGACGTGGTTTGGATTGGTAACTGCATTAATTGATCACTTACAGATAGTAACTACAAGTTACTACACGGCTGTCGCTAATTCACACACTCTACAATTCACAGCAGCACAAGCTTAAGTCTTCTCAGTCTGTTACAGACTTCACTAGCCTTTGCTTGGTAGCGTCCTCCAACAATGGACGTTCCCCTTTCTCTGGGGTCACGAAGTGTCTCAGGTCTCAGTTACCAGTTTCTCACAGAATACAAAAACTGAACACCAGCGGTTATCTATTTAAATCTCACTCACCAACCGAGTCAACTCAAGTCAGTTCAACTCGACTCTCACTAACTGTCTTGTTTATAACATTTTGGCATGGACCGCACAGAAGACACCGTTTCTTTGTAGCCGTTTATAGACCGTTGCCTAGTAACGGCCTTTGTATAATTATTTGCTTCGCTGTCATTGCCCAGCAACGAGTCTATATAACACAATATTTCCCTCCAAATATCTAATGAGCACGCTTACTTCAATGAACTCAATTGGCAGTCCAAAGTTAAGGTTATTTTCAGTTTCAAAAAGCCTTAAGTTACTTCAGCTAGAAAACAATTTGTAACAACCGTATCTTATTTCCTGTGTCATATTTTATCCATTTCAAACACACACTCGGATTGCATAAGATATTGCATATATTTAATAAAATATAATGTAACAGCAAGGCGAAAGCTCTGAAATTAAGAAATGCCGGGTTACCATATTAAAGAATCGTGGAAAGCAAACGCGTTACAGAAACGCAAGTTATATCGCAGGTCACGAAAAAAAAACGAGTGTATCGTGCTTATTCTGTGAGTACTAATCATGTTTTGATGTGGATATGTGAACTGTCGCAAGCTGTATAAAGAAGAAAGTTTACTATTGTCTACATTTGTGTTTTATTAGTGGGAGATGGCGTTAAACGTGGACCTAGACAAATCGTTCAGTTACATGTAGGAGTGGAAAGAACATCGGGAGAATACAGCAGATGATGAAACCTCCCGCTGACTGGATTTTACTGTTGCATTTTCCTTTTCTGTTCAACGTGACGAGTGTATGACTTTACTCCATGACACGAAACTTAGCAAACCGATGGGCGCGTAGGTATACAAGAAATTCTCAGTGTTTTAATAAACCGAAGCTTCATTATCCTTTTCACAAGAGCTAAAACAAACTCCGTGGTTCTAGTCCGCAAGCGAACTATATCGACCGAGCGACCGCCGCTTGTCGGCGAAGTTAGTGCCAAATTTAGCGGATAGAGGGTGTCGCGTGGTCAGCGCAACGAATCCCCACGGCCGTTATTTTTGGTTTTCTAGCCCGTTTCACAAGAGCTAGCCCACATTTAATAGTCCTTTTAGTAGAGTTAATTATTAAGAAGAGACTGAACTCGGGTAATGCTAGCTACCATTCAGACCAGAACCTTTTGCCTTCTCATCTGTTGTCCAAAAACATAAAAATTAAAATATACAAAACTACAATTTTGCTTGTGGTTCTGTATGGGTGTGAAACTTGGTCTCTGAATTTAAGGGAGGAACATATACTGAGGGTGTTTGAGGGCAGAGTGCTTAGAGAATTTTTGGGTCGAAGAGAGATGAAATGATGAGTGGTTGGAGACCGACGGTCAGTCTGTCAGTCTCGCTTGGTGTCAAGCCCCCATCTGGGGCCCAACACCAGATATTTGTTACTGTTAGGCAATTGTGGGTTTGTTGATATGTGGCGTCCTCTCTAACGAGAGGACGTGTCGTTTACAATTGCTGCTGGCCCTCGCCAGCGAAGTTATTGTCGGGTCCGATACCCGCAGTACTCACTGCCTCAGATTCGAGACTGCCCCAACCTGGAGGTCCAGGTCCCTGAATTTATATCCCCCAGGAACAGGGTGGCCGAGATATACCCCCAGACACTGGGTTTTCTTTTCGTCGCCCCTAAGGCTCACAGGGCTATGGTGGAGTTACTTGAACCCGTTTACAAGCTACAACATTAACCCCCGGAAAGGGCTACCGGTACCCGTTGGAATGGAGATTGGACGTGCGTCAGAGTCTGTCTGGTCGCTGTGGATAAGAGAAAAGCCCGGTACTACCGGGAATCGAACCCAAGCCGTCCAGCTCCTAGCCCGTCGTTATACCGAATCACGTACCCCGACTTAGTGAAAAGTGGGGAGATTTATTGACCGGTATCTGCAAGACCGATTGTGTTCAACTATGTTGAGTGTGGACTGAATTTTCTCGAAATATCTCATGAAAGTTTAGGCAGACCGCCAGGCAGCCTCCAATCATGCGTTCATTGTATAATCATCTTGCGAGTGCTTCTATGAAGCATGGCTTTAGAAGTAGTTTTCTTGGTAGAGAGCAGTGTTCCTGCGCATGCGTGGCGCGATTGGAATGGAATTTGCCTATCGTAATCACCGTTAGGGGGAGCAGTTGTAAGGAACATGGGAAGGTTTCAGTGCATCGCTTCCCGTGTACGGGTGACGCACCCTTGTGGCGTCGACATTATACGCCATAGACCCTGCTCTACCCAAGTGGAAGGTAGAAAGAGTTGACCCCTCTGATATGTTACACATAGGTAACCATATATACCACGTCATTCTCCATTAGATATCTTTGAATTTTGCAACAGAATTTGTTTAGGTTAAGGCACGCTGTAGCGTAGTTGTTTGAGGCACTATGATACAAGCCGGATGATCGCGGGTTTGATTCCCGACGAAGTCATCGGAATTTTTAAATTGATCCAATCATTTCAGCCGCATTCTGGTCCTGGGGTCGACTCAGCCTCTAGTAGAAATGAATACCAGGAATCTACCTGGTGGTAAGGGGCGGACGGTCAACGCGTAAGGCTGACAACCTCACCGCCATCTGTGAGCTGATTGTCTAGAAAATGTGGGAGCCTCGACGTCTCACAACCCTATGAGCCTCCACGGCCTGTTACAGGGATAGCTTTACATTTTTACCTTTCTCTTGCCTTTAGGTTTCGAAAGGAGCAGCAAGCGGTTGGTTTTTGTAGTGGAGATGCAACATAAAATTTTAGGTTATCATTTCGGTGACTGTAATTAGTATCATCTTGTGGGATGTGACACCGTGTATTTTAATAGATGTTTATCGACATTTCGAAATATCGTTTCTTCCATCTTTAAGGTAGAACAGGAAACCAAACAACTAATAAATGAGAAGCAAGCTGCATATGGCTTTCCTTCGACCCTAAAAATGGATGCAGTATATTCCTCCGAAACGTCGTTAAACTTGTACAATAATGTACAAGTCAAGTCCTAGTAAGCAGTACTTTTAAAGAACCAGTATAATTTCTGTAAGGTAGGAACCAAATTCTTTAAGACGCCGTTAGTTTAATTGCGTGTTTACAATGCTTAATATATTTTTTATGAGTTATTTATGTGTAAAATTGTCCCTTTGCTAAATCAAACATCATGAAATTAAATATGAGGGAGTAGAGGTATAGCTCCATTTGTTTTGAAATCACCACCAGACGGACAGAGTAATACATTTCCCCTCCCTCTTGAAAGCCCGTGAGGCATGGGATAGTATACTTGATGACCTCCTGGACTCTATGAGGACAATAAACCCTGCCTTGCTTGGATCTGAACCCGGAAACCTAACCATTTATCCCATTTACTGTAGCCTACACACTGAGTTATATCGTCCAGGAGCCGGGATAGCTCAGTCGGTATAGCGATTTTCTACTGGCTGGACAACACCGGGGTCGGAGTTCAAGTCCCGGTAGGGTCAACAATTTTCTG